TTTGTTTATTTTTTTATAAATAATGATCTGCAAAATTAGCCAATCATATTAAGGTGCGATATATAACCTTAACGCATGGGTGCGAAGCATATTAAACTTCATATTATAAATATATAATACGTATATGATAATAATATTTTTAACATATGTTTAAAATATGTTTAATATATATTTATCATATATATGTAATATTAGTAATATTATAGTAATATTGTACGTAGCAATATTGTAAACATATTTAGCAAAATCAAAGGTTTCTGTAAAGTAATTGCATTTACAAGATATCAAAGGTGAAATTAATTCTTTAGTGGGACCTTGGGGTCCCTATTGAATTTGAGATAATAACTTCAGTACCATTCGAATCATCTTTGCATAACAATTCAAATAGTACCAAAATCGTCCAAATTTAATTACACATTCACGAGATATCAAGGATGTATTTATCAGGACCCAAGGTCCCGATAAAAATTTGATACATCCTTGATATCTTGAGAACATGTGATTAAATTTGGATAATTTTGGTACTATTTGAATTGTCATACAAAAATGATTTGAATAGTACCGGAGTTATTACCTCAAATTCAATAGGGACTCTGAGGTCCTGCTAAAGAATTAATTTCACCTTTGATATCTCGTAAATGCAATTAAATTTCAATAATTCTGGTACCATTCGAATTATCTTTGCATGACGATTCGAATGGTACCAAAATCGTCTAAATTTAATCACACATTCTCGAGATATCAAGAATATATCAAATTTTTTATCGGGACTTTGGGTCCCGATGAACTTAAATTAATACATCCTTGATATTTTGTGAACGTGTGATTAAATTTAGATAATTTTGGTACCATTCAAATCATTATTCAAAGATGATTCAAATAGTACCGGAGTTATTACCTCAAATTCAATAGGGACCCCAAGGTTCTGCTAAAGAATTAATTCCACCTTTGATATCTCGTAAATGCAATTAAATTTTAATAACTCTGGTACCATTCGAATTATCTTTGTATGACGATTCGAATGATACCAAAATCGTTTAAATTTAATCACACATTCATGAGATATCAAGAATGTATCAATTTAAGTTCATTGGGACCTTGGGTCCCAATGAACTTAAATTGATACATCCTTGATATCTCGTGAATGTGTGATTAAATTTTACTGTATAAGCGCAAATAATGCTCATCTGTGCACTAATTAATTGACCTGCACATTATTTAGAATACACCTATGTCCAACAAGAGAAGGTTTTCGAAATTCAATACAATCCTTCAGTAAGTGCATGAGACCAATAGTCAAATAACTAACTAATCTAATCTAAACTCTAAAACTGCAACAATTGATAGGGTAGCAAGACAGAAAACTCCAAAATGGTAGGTGTCGATCAAGGCGTAGTGAAACTTGGTCTGAGTTTTCTGGAGCTTAGATCTTGTAGAGGTAATGTAATGTTGAGTCAAATAAGAAGTTTCCTTCTAAATGCAATTTTTATGTTGATTTGACAGTTAGAACAATTTTTTATTACTTGACTTATATTATATTTTTCTAACACTAATGATTCTATTTTACTTTCTTTTTGGGTACTTCACTTATTTTGGGGTCATGTATTACAAGACTTCGATAATCGACGAATAAAATTGATCAGAGTTTATTTGTATTTCTGTATAAAAGAGGTTTTCGATAATTTTCTCTCTTTATTTTACAATTCAAAAATATTGTTTCTTTAAAGGATCACAAGAACAGTTTTTATTTTGGCAATTTTACAATGAAGTGTATAATTTTTTATTACGAGAAAGAGAAAACTTTTTAGAGAACCAACCTCTACTTATAATCTTTTCGAAGTTTTAGAACTCGAATGAGTTGCTTTTTATTAAGTGAAAAAGGTAGATCTTTATATACTTTAGACCTTTTACTATGTACATATAGCTATATTTTCTATTTCTAACTACCCTACAATACTTTCTATATGTTTTCAAATGACTTGTATGTTTTGCACGAGTCGTATGTTTTGTACGAGTTGCATGACTTGTACGATTTGTATGTTTTGTATAGAGATATTCCTTTTTGCTAATTTTGACTAATACTTATATATAAGAACTCCATATTTCTAATACTTTAATTTTTCAAGAAATTGAGTTTAAAAAAAAATTTTTTTGCCCACTATCTTTTGCTATAAAAAACAAATAGCACCTGGTGTGCCACTTACAACATTATTGGGTAAGTATACATTTTATAATATATTTAATATAAAAGCATTATTGACAAAATATATTAAATAATTACATTATACTGCTCAAATTATGTGCACTTATCTTTATAAGGAAAGTGCGCTTATAGAGTGTAATATCCTGTATATCTATTGCAACAATAGATAACTAGTATTTATTCTTGAAGGACCCAATTTTCAAAATAGCACCCATGAGCGTTATTTCGTGCTTATACGGTAATGATCTCTACACCATTCAAATCATCTCGTTAAGATAATTTGATCCAGCTTTGATATCTCGTAATCATGTATTAAGCTTTAGTGTGAATTGAAAAATTACAAATAAGATAGGATTTTTCAGCCAAAATTTGAGCTTTATTGAGGTCATTATTGGTTAATTTATACATGATTATAGTCATTTATATATACATATAAAAGGAGAGAAAATAAAATAAAATAAAATAATAATAATAATAATAATAAAAATAAAAATATTAAAAAAATAAAAAATATAAAAAAATAAAAGGTACATCATGGGGAACTGTGACAAGAAGTAATTAATTAGTTCTTTTAAAACCTGTTTTTGATGATGAGTTTTCAATGAATTGAGTTCTTAGCACCCATTTTTTTTAGCAAATATAGGTCTCTGGAGTCGTTTGCTATTAGCAAGAAAGAAAAAAATTCTAAAAGATATATTCCTTGCTGTAGCTGAAGCTCTCTAGCAGCATAATGAGTACCCAAAGTTGGGTGAGTATATGTGTGAAAGTCTAGTTTATTATCAACCAATGTTTTATTAAATTTAAGTTTCTGTTATTGGCAGAAGCTCATTAGTGCAAATGCTATTACATCTGATTTTTCAAAGACTGACATAATGAAGTGATTTGATATTTTGTAAATTTTTATTGATTGATTGATTTATTTTTTCATGGATGGGTTTCTTTTCAAAATAGCAAATTTAGAGCTCTTATATACTGTAATTTTGTTACGATGCAAACATGACTTGAAAGTCATCGCAATTATTAATATGACTATCGCTTGTATCGTAATTTGTGCAAATTACAGTATTATTAAAAATTATATTTAATAATCAACACATTAGAAATCGGTTAAATATCTGAACCTTACATTCTAACAAACTTAATTGTCGATGCATTTGGTAATATAAACTATACCCCTATGTGATCATAATAAACTTTAATCATTGAATAAATTAAAAATTATACCTCTCTCTTGGGTTAAACTATCCTTGTAGAATTCATAGTTTTTTTGCTTGTGCATTCTATTATAATGGTGCAATTTTTATATTTTAAGGGAAAGTCGGGTATTATAGCACTTAAGAGTTGCACATAAAAAATTTTAAGCCGTATTTATTTACAATTTTTTTTAGGTTGAAGAGTATTATAGCACACTATGTTTCGTATTGTATTACTGCATCCACCCTCCAAATATTGTTCAAATGAGGAAATACATAGTAAAATTAAAAGAAAAATTAAATACCGAAATCAAAAAATGCTCATTTAAAAATAGCTCTATCAGAACGATAGTAATAGACATTTTAAAGTATGTCTAAACTCAACAGAGTTACTTTTAATCATATAAGTAACTAATGCGTTTAAGAAAAGTCTGACCAAAAAAGAAGTTTTAAATTACAATAGCATATGGAGTGTCAACTGTATATCATTTATCGCAACAATATATTATTTGCTACATTAGCATGCACGCTATTTTGGGATACCCATAGCACTAATGTCGAGAACACTTAAGTTATTTTTGAAAAATCCGATTTTCAAAATAACGCCCTTCACGCTTATATGGTAATTTGTTGTGATTCCTAAATCTATCTATTATGCGATAAGTTGCAAAAAAATTTTAAAAAATATTTTTATGAGAAAATCTATGTTGTTAAAATTATATAAATAAATAGGAATTGTAAACGATTTTTTTGCCAAAACCAAAGTCTATTTATTATCGAAAAAAAATGAAAACATTAAAACAATTTATGCACAAAGTTTTTTTTCAAAATAAACTTGTGCTTCAAACAAACATAGTTGTATGATATGTCTGTCTAAAATTAATCCAACTTTTCAACATCCAATTATAATTTTAACATGTTATCACTTTTTTCATGCCAAATGCATTAATCGCTGGGCTTCTGGATCGGAATATACTTGTCCTATTTGTCGAAATAAAGATTTAGAAAATACATCAAAATCAGAAAGTACTAATCAGCAAGTTAATCCAAATGAATCTACTACCGCAAATACATCTACTTCTATAGAATATACTCCAATTGAACCTACCACTGTAAATACATCTACACCTATGGAATATACTCCAATTGAGCCTACTACTGTAAATACATCTACATCTATAGAATATACTCAAATCGAATCTACTACTACAAATATATCTACTTCTATACCTTCTATACTAATCGCCAACCCTCATGATCTTACATCTACAAGTGATCTAGCTATATCTACTATTACTAGTACTAACTCCAGCAATCCTGTATCTACAATCGCCAACCCTAGTAGCCTAGCAATACCTACCATTATTAATAGCTCTAATAATTCTACATCCAACTTTGGTAATTCTACTAGGTTTACATTAGTTACCAAACCTAGTAGCTCTACTGCTAACCTAAGAAAAGAAAAAAATTTTTTAGAAATTTTTGCAGATTTAGTTACTCCTAGTGAAATATCCAGAGTTAGTAGTAGTGAAGGTGAAGAAGTAGATAGTAGAAATGCAACAATAAGTTTAGTTCAGCTTTATAATAAAGCAGAACATTCTCAAAAGCGTGCAATATTAGCAAACCACGCTGAAATATGGTCCTGGTATCGATTCGCTAAAGCATTTGAAAGATAAGTAAATGAAGAACTACAAAATAATAGAATAACTTTGATCAAAGCCAAATCTAAAGTCTATGGAGAAATATTAGCACATCGATCTGATATTACTAAAGAAGCTTTAAAAAAGGGCCAGAAATGTATATAATTTGTTCAAAATAATTAGTGTAAATAAAAATTAGTCGAATTAAAACACATAGGTTTGACACAATCTCAAAGATTACTAAACAACAAATTGAAATAATTACCCGAAGTGTAAATAGTACATAATTTAAGACATATACAGTATGTGTATATGTACAGTATATATGTACGTACATACATTGTAAAAGGCAAAATTACCCCTCCTGGTAGTGATGTACAGGTAGCATAGCATTTGAAATCGGAGTGAAGGAAATGGTAAAAGAAAAGTAAATAGGTGAGATTCATTTAATTTAGTAAATCTCTCTCTAATATAAAATATAAGCAAATCAATTTTATCTTCAATAGCATAAATTATAGTAGTAGTTGTTTCACTTAATAGGCAATTCTCCAGTCAACTAGACAAAATTTTTTTTTTTATATATAAATTTTACTATCTCTTAAATTGTAACACAGGCAAATTTGCTTGTGAAAATTTTTACTAATTTTTTTAATTTTTAAATTTTTTAATAAAATTTTAAATATTAATTTTAGCTATATATTTACTAAATAAAAAATAT